AAAATTTATGGACAGAACATCAGCTAATTAATAAGTAAAAAGAAGGAACTTGAAAAAGCTAACAATTCGAACTAGACATCAAAGCCATACCCAGACAAAGCTGCACGGCGATGAGGAAGTCGACGGTGGACCTCTTTTGTTGCTCACTACGTTAAGGTCACCTACAGTGAAGATCAAACCAATGTTTCCCTAAAAACAAAAAATAGAGTATAATCTAAAGAGAGATTTCTAACCTGAAACAGCGGAGGAGAAGATCTCGCGTGGAGCTGTTTCGCAAGCAGATATAGAAAAACCGATGTTCTTGTTGAATCTGAAATAACAGAGGGGAAGCGCCGTTTTAGAGGGAGATTTGAGTTTTCTTTTTTACAAAATTAGGATTACAAATCGTGGGTTTCCTTTATATAGGAAGGTACAAGTTTTGGTTAGAATTTTTGATTTAGAATTATTGGTTCAATTTCGGTTTATGTATTGGTTAAGTAATTATTTTTGGTTTTTTTCGTTAATATAAATATTTATTCGGTTTCGTAGACTTCAAGATGAAGTCTACTATTTCTAAGCCATAAATCAGATATTTGACATTCATTATTCAAATTCATAAATTTAAATTTATGAATGTGAAACAATAATTTATATACATTAAAAATAACCATATCTAATTTATAATGGAAAATTTGAAATGAAAATTATTTTTTGTTAATTTTAAAATTAAATTGTATGATTTAATTACATAATAGACTTCACAAGGATTTAAACCGTAGTTAAAATATCCGTTTTTTGTTTGGTCATATAGAATTATATTGTGTTTTCACTACCTATTTAGGTTATTTTTGTCAAATATTACATCAAGAGTCTACTTTTGTATTCAAAATCAATTTTTAGGTTATTTTTAGCAAAAATCTTTTTCTTTAACACCTTCTTTTTGCTCTTTTAACACTCCACATCATCTACTCTCTCTTCCACCTAATAATTCAACACTCACTCACTTTTTATACTGTACCCTACAATTATTATTTTATATTTTATCTTCTTTTATTAAGAATAAACACACAACACAACTAAATAAAGCACAAAACACAAAAATACCGGTAAACAAATAATTAAAAGTTTATTAGAAGCTAATATGAAAAATGTAGTGGAAATTTTTTTTTTTCTGTGTTCAAATTAAGTGACACCAGTCTCTATTTATAGAATATGAAAAATGATTAATTTTGATATAAAAGGTTGAAAAAAATATAATTTTTCTATAAGATAATTGATCTCAAATATTTTAGATGAAAAATAAATATTAGGAATATGCATAGCCAATCAATGACTGTCACATGCTTTTCTTTTTTTCTTAATTTATAATTTCAACATGTTGGATTTTTTCAACCGAATTTATTCCACATCAGATTTTTTTTTTGTTTTCAACTTGCGTGTTCAACAACATAATTATTTTTTTCAACTAGCCATTGTATATAATCTGAGAAGTTAGTGACTGTGAACCAAAAAAAAAATCAAACGTTGAAAGTTAGTGACGAGGTGGAATACAATCTGTATCAGAAGCTAGAAGATATGAAGAAGAGATAGATGGATTGGAATCTGCGCATGAGAAGAAGTCTCAAGGCGTTTTCTATGTATATGAATGAGATGGTGATAAGTGAAAGAACACGAGAATACAATAGAAGAAAGTAATCATCTGCAGACTCAAAAAATGGAAATCGAAGCAGGAGAAATCGACGTTACTGAATCAGATAAACTGTGATATCCCGATTTCCGGTATATGTGAAAAATGTTTATAAGAATTGATTTAGCTATCTATGTCATCAAAGTGCACTTATCTTTTCGGGCACTGGTCTTGAGAGAATTCAAGAGTTAAGCGTGCTTATGCTGGAGCAATCTCAGGATGGGTGACCTACCGGGAAACGGACTGCGGTATTGTGCGAGTGAGGACAAAGCACGGAGAAAGATCACGTGGTGATTGCAGGGATAGTAGACAAGTCTTACGAGCCTCCCGGACCAATGACTCCCGACCGTCGGACAGGGGTGGGCCAATGGGCCTAGAAAGAGGCCAACCGTCGGACAGTAGTGGGCCAACGGGCCTAAGAGAGAAGACGTTGGGCTCACTGGTAGGGGCGGTTGGTGGGCCAACGGGCCTAAGAGAGGACGTTGGGTTCTAGAGTATACGGCGTTGGGCTCACTGGTAAGGGCGGTTAGAGGCGTTCAGAGTTGATAGCCAATCCAGATGAATGGCGGATTTGGGGTCTCATGGATTTGATAGCTGGTCTGTCTGGTTTCCGGAAGGGAAGAAGGGAGCGGGGTCTCACAAGTGGTATCAGACCCAAGGTTAGCCAACCGGCTCTGATCTGGGTGGCGTCTTGGAACGTAGTTAAGGAGAATTCCAGGACGAATTTGATCTGCTCAAAGTTTAATACCTAAGCTACTCTGCAAGAGCACAGATGTGCAGTTGTAGCATAATAGGGGTCGAACCACAGAGACGAGAGATTCACACAATAAACTATATAGGCTTGAATTACCCTAAGTCAAACACAATAAAATTGAAAGCAGCAATGAAAGAAAAACGGTTGTAAATTCGATGGAAAAGAATTAGGCTCAGGGTGTTTCTCAGGAAATCAGAGAATGCAGATTAATCGATAAATCAGGGTTCAGGGTTGAGCACAGTTCTTGAACTCGAATCACAGAATTATAATTAACCAACTTCCGTTGTGAGAATTATCTAAGTTAAAATCTTAGAATTCCAAATTCCTTTGCAAACCCTAAAGCTTTAAACCAGCTTTAATGCTCAAGTTCGATATGTTCACAAAGTATCTAAACTAAATTCCTTTGCGAATAGCTACTTTGCTCACCCTAGGTTCTTTCCAGTTATTCAATTACACTTCCGTGTCAATCAATTAACCTAAGATCTAAGTTCTAGGTGGCCAGTCCAGAATTAGCTTTAAGAACAACCTATGGTGAAGAACTAAATAGATAATGAACCCTAACTAACCAATCAATCTAACATCCAATGAAATCCTTTATGAGAACCCTAAACCTAACAAGCAAACTACTCAGACATGAAGATTGAAGCAATAAACATCATTGAATAGATTGCAGAAAGCAATAAATAGATTAATAAACTGGGGTACAAAATCTTCTCTCTCCGGAACAGAGTTTCAGACTTGTCTCCCCAAAAGCTCTCAAAAACAAAAGTTCTCTTTAAAAAAATCTAAGGTATCGATATAAGGTGGCTAAAAACCTTATTTATAACTTAAAAACACGTTTTGGGCTTCCTTGTAATTATTTGGGAACTTCTGGGCCCAACTCCTTCTTCAAACAGGAGACAAAATCGCCTTTTCCTTATTTCTTTGACAAGTGTCGAGCGTCACTCTCCATGGTGTCGAGCGACACTAAAGCACAAAATCCATACTTGACGAATTTGATCATGATTAAGCTCCAAAGTGCTCCAAAATCTCCAGATAAGCTCCAAACGTACTTAAGCCTGTAAAGACTCCAAAAGACTGGAAAAACACTAGAAAGATTCTATAAATAAGATCTATACCATGTTAAAAACCATAAAAACCATGATATATCAACTCCCCCAGACTTAGCATTTGCTTGACCTCAAGCAAACAGAATACCAAATAAGAGAAAAAGGTTTGAAAACACGGAGACTCAACCTTTCACTGGAACATCGCTTTTGACCGATCACCCTGCAACTCAACTACTGCTTCATCATTCCAAATCGAACCACCATGTACTTCTCCGCAGACATTCACAACTTTCCAGATTAAATCCAAAATTCCACAACATTGTCCATAAACCCTCATCGCTGGATCTCACTGATGATTCAGATGCCAAGAACCTTATAGATTCTTTCCCATACTATACTCAAAAAAATCAGCCATACACACTTTGGTACTTTTCTCTCCCCCAGACTTATTCTTTTCGCATATTCATCATATTTTTCTTTTCTCTTCTTTTTTATGGCATATACTCGATAAGGGTAAATCTGCGAATACTGATGGTGTTTGCCATCGAGTCCCCGAGTTGTCCCCTTACCTTGTATCAAAGGTTTTCGAATAGTGGGGTCATAGGAAACTTTCCTACCCCTCACTTCCTTCCTTTGTGTGATCATTCCAACTTAGAAGTGAAATAATAAGATCCTTGGAAATTTTCCTAACCCTTCACTCCTAAGTGAAAATCATCTCAATCTTTTCGCCTTTTTCTTTCTTTTTTTTTTAGCTTGTCACATGGAAGAGAAGCACCAACATTAGATTTCATACAGGCTTCATTTTTCAAGTATGAACGAGGAATCAAGCTCTAGGAACATCAGTCACATCAATGAGGTAAAAGAAAGAGTTCAGAAATTAGCTCAGGTTAGTGGATTCTGTTGGAAACATGGACGCCTCTAGTCAACTGGTCAGCCTTTGAGTTTTTCATTAGTCGGATCTAGACTGAATCTGCAGCAGTGGTCACTTAGATGAAAGGTCAGCACAATAATTCCAGGAAAAGCATCATAATCTCCAACAGGTTTTGACTCAAAAACGTTTTGACACGTCTGACTCTTAAGAAAAAACAAACACAATGTCAGTGACTACCTCCCCCAGACTTAAACAACACTGTCCCCAGTGTTATCTAGCCCGAAGGTGGTGAAACAAAAGAAAGGAAACAGAGAAACGCAGTAAAAATGGAAAACTTACCTGGCTGCAATGATGGTGTCAAGCGACACCGATGATGGTGTCGTGCGACACTTGTTATCCTCGTACCGAATTGCAGCAGACCAATCCGAATTTCTGGTTTAACTCCGGTTTCCTGATTTCCTAATTTTTTTTTTTTTGACTGGTGTCGACCGACTCTGATGGTGGTGTCGATCGACACCAACCACTTCGTATCTGCTACATCTAAAACACCAAAACGAAAAACGAAAGTTAGCTGAAACAAAAAGACTTATGTACAGACTTACCAGTGGATTGCCTTCCACCAATCACTTGTTTTAAGTCATTAGCTTGACTATGGATAGACTATGCATCTGGTGGTTCAGAGAGTGGCAAAGAATGCCTCTGTAAAAGTTGTCTCATCCATGGTGGTGTGTAAGCGTTGTGCGCATGAGGTCGTCCAAGGAATGCAGGAATAGCACCAGGGTGAGATCTGTGTTTGGGTGGCTTCAACCTATTCCCTGCAATATCATCAGTTGAAAAACCAAGAGCTCTTTGCTTTAGTGGAGATGAATGGAATGAGATGTTTGGAGCTTCCTGATCAACAGCAGCTACTGGTTCTGTAGATGTCTTAGTCAACTCAGGTTGATCTATCACCTTCTCAGCATCAAACACATTCTGATCTCAAACTATCACTTCAGGTATTGCACTGACTTGGAATGTCTGACCATCTATGGTTGAATCCTTCAGCTTCTCCATCTTGAAAGTCATGATGGTATCTCCCAAGTGGAGATCAAGGTTACCATGCTGTACATCAATTACCGCTCCAGCTGTAGCTAAAAACGATCTTCCCAAGATAAGAGGATCTTTGGGTTCCTCTCCATATTTCAGAACCACGAAATCTGTAGGAATTATGCAATCACCAACTTTAATCGGAACATCCTCCAAGATACCTTTTGGGATTCTTTTAGATCGATCTGCTAGGATCAAAGAGATCTTAGTTGACTTGAAGTCACTCATCCCAAGGCTAACAGCTACAGAATATGGCATGAGGTTGAAACTCGAACCAAGATCACATAGCGATCTCTTGAACCTCTCTGAGAAGATAGAGCAGTCCAAAACAAAGCTTCCTGGGTCCGAGAGCTTCTCTAGAATCTTATTCTGAATCACAGCATTGACCTGTTCAGAAATCATCATCACTCCTTCCTCATGACTCAGATTATTAGTCACCATCCTCTTCACATAGTGTCTGAGAGTAGGAGCAATCTTCACAGCATCAACCAAAGGAATCTCAATCACAAGCTTCTCCATCAAAGCCTTGTATCTAGCATCGTCTAACTCCTGCTTAGATTTCCTAGGACTCCTTGGGTAGGGAACCTTAGGTTTGTAAACCCTTTCTTCTGTTGGTTTTGGATTCTGAACAACTTCAGCTTCGCTCTGCGATTGGTGTCGCGCGACACTAGTTGTGGTGTCGCTCGACACTGGCTCTGCAGTTTCGAAATTTTCTTCAGATTCGTCAAACGCCACGATTTCATCCTCAGAAACACCCTTTTTAAGCACAGGAGTCAACTTTTTACCACTCCTTAACGAGATGGCACTGCAGTAATGCCTAGGATTGGTATCAGTCTTTCCAGGAAAGAATCCTTCTTGCCTTTTTATAGATTCTGCAGTCTGAGCAACCTGAGTATCAAGCTTCTTGACATGAGTGTTCAGAACTTCAATTTTTCCATTCAGATCCAGATACAAAGTATCAATCTTCCCATTAAAGTCCACAGTCATCTTCTGCTGACCTTCCAAGATCTGTTCCAGCATAGACTTCACCTCATTATCTAGAGTTTGAGTAGGAGGAGAACCATAGTTCCTTGAAAAACTGTTGTTGGAGTAGGATGTCTGGTACTGAGGTTTGGAGTTATAGCCAGAATAGTTCTGGTTACCTGTGAAGGTACTCCTCTGATTATTTCCACTGTAATTCATGTTTCCTGGCTGAGTACCAAATCTCTAACCCTGAAATCCAGCTCCATTGATGAAGTTAACATCCTCTTCCTCAAGTGCTTCATCTGGTTCGAAATTCTTAACCTCTGCAGCGTATCGAACGGACTTCTTACCCACTAGAAGGCTATGCACAGAGTCTAGCTTAGCTTTCACCTCAGCAATCTGCGATCCATCCATGTTTCCACCCTGCTTCTTTCGCTGATAGTCTGCATTCTTGGTACTATTGCTAGATGCCAAGTTCTCAATAAGCACAACAGCGTCTTCAGGGTATCTGGTGTTGAAGTTCCCATTGCTCGCAGCATCAAGAGCCATCTGATACCTCCAATCAAATCCTCTGAAGAAAATAACTAGCAGCTGAACATCACTGAAACCATGATGTGCACAATCTCTCTGATATGACTTGAATCTCACCCAAGCAGCCTTGAATGCTTCAGTTGGTCCTTGAGAAAACGTTGAGATTTTGAGTCTCAGTTCTTCAGACCTGGCATCGTCATAGAAGTTGTGCAGGAAGGCGTTCCTGGTCTCTTCCCATGTAGTCAGCGAACCTGGTTCCAACTGCTTCAGCCAGTTAGCTGCTTCTCCAGCAAGAGAGTATGGGAACAGCTTACAGAAGAGGAAATCATTGGACACTCCATTGTATTTGATGCTGGTGACCAAGTCCTCAAACCTCTCAATATGATCCATCAGGTGCTCATGAGAAAGACCAGGGAAAGGATGCTGACCTAGAAGAGTGTAATACACAGGCTTGAGCTCAAAATCGTTCCTTTGAAACGCAGGAGCCCGAATCGCAGACCGATTTGCATAGAATTGCTCAGGTCTGTTGTAGTCACCCAGCGTCCTGATGATGTTACCCTCTCCATCAAGTCGCTAGCCTCTCTCATTACACACATGACCATCTTGGTCTCTCCAGACACCAGCATCATCACGAACCAATGCCAATGCGTTCTCCATCTTTTCTAGTTTCTGAGACAAATAGAAAGAACAATGTAAGTAACAAAACAACAATAAAATTAAGAAAAACAACGGGTGTCGCGCGACACCACTGCTGGTGTCGCTCGACACTAAGAATATTTAGTCGAAACTCAAGAACTAAAGTTTAATGGCGAAAATCAAGTCCCCGGCAACGGCGCCAAAACTTTATCTGCTCAAAGTTTAATCCCTAAGCTACTCTGCAAGAGCACAGATGTGCAGTTGTAGTATAATAGGGGTCAAACCACAGAGACGAGAGATTCGCACAATAAACTATATAGGCTTGAATTACGCTAAGTCAAACACAATAAAATTGAAAGCAGCAATGAAAGAAAAACGGTTGTAAACTTGATGGAAAAGAATTAGGCTCAAGGTGTTTCTCAGGAAATCAGAGAATGCAGATTAATCGATAAATCAGGGTTCAGGGTTGAGCACAGTTCTTGAACTTGAATCACAGAATTATAATTAACCAACTTCCGTTGTGAGAATTATCTAAGTTAAAATCTTAGAATTCCAAATTCCTTTGCAAACCCTAAAGATTTAAACCAGCTTTAATGCTCAAGTTCGATATGTTCATAAAGTATCTAAACCAAATTCCTTTGCGAATAGCTGCTTTGCTCACCCTAGGTTCTTTCCAATTATTCAATTACACTTCCGTGTCAATCAATTAACCTAAGATCTAAGTTCTAGGTGGCCAGTCCAGAATTAGCTTTAAGAACAACCCATGGTGAAGAACTAAATAGATTATGAACCCTAACTAACCAATCAATCTAACATCCAATGAAATCCTTTATGAGAACCCTAAACCTAACAAGCAAACTACTCAGACATGAATATTGATGCAATAAACATCAATGAATAGATTGCAGAAAGCAATAAATAGATTGATAAACAGGGGTTCGAAATCTTCTCTCTCCGGAACAGAGTTTCAGACTTGTCTCCCCAAAAGCTCTAAAAAACAAAAGTTCTCTTAAAGAAAATCTAAGGTATCGATATAAGGTGGCTAAAAACCCTATTCATAACTTAAAAACACGTTTTGGGCTTCTTTGTAATTATTTGGGAACTTCTGGGCCCAAGTCCTTCTTCAAACAGGAGACAAAATCGCATTTTCCTTATTTCTTTGACAAGTGTCGAGCGTCACTCTCCATGGTGTCGAGCGACACTAAAGCACAAAATCCATACTTGACGAATTTGATCCTGATTAAGTTTCAAAGTGCTCCAAAATCTCCAGATAAGCTCCAAACGTACCTAAGCCTGTAAAGACTCCAAAAGACTCGAAAAACACTAGAAAGATTCTATGAATAAGATCTATACCATGGTTAAAAACCATAAAAACCATGATATATCAGAATTCCTTGGAAGTCGGGGTGAATTGTGAAATTCCGATTTTCGGTATATGTGAAAAAGGCTTATAAGAAAAGATTTGACTATCTATGTCATCAAAGTGCACTTATCTTTTCAGGCACTGTCTTGAGAGAACTCCAGAGTTAAGATGTACACATTTTTTCTGTGAACTTTGGTTGATGTTGTGCCTCTAATTTATTTATTTACTTTTGACATTTAATAGATTGAAAAGATAAAATATTTGATTGCTCAAGCAAATCATAGTCTTTTTTTTTTGGTGATATTTCTAGCTAGTGGACTGAAAAATACATTATAAAAAAAAAATGGAACTGGTCCAAGCATTCAAAATGTTGAAACTATCAATTCTAATAATGAATTTGGTCATGGCTCTGATGACTATAATGAATTTTTGGTTTCTTTATCGCTTATACATTGGGTTTATACCATGTTATTTTTTTCAGGCTCTTTTGCGGTTTTGATTTTGGTTTCACTGGATCAAATCTAAATTGCATGAATTCCTTGAGTTTTGATGTTTTGAAGCATGCATTTGGCACTTGGAAAATTATTAAGCAGTGGTTCTGTGGAGAGAAAACTCGTGATATTAGTGATAATGGGATTGTTTCTGATGCTGGGATACTTAGAGAAGCCATTTTGAAGCATGGAGGTTGGTGGCACGAGCAATGTTTGGGCTACAATGAACAGTTTGCTTGCATAGATACCAATGAGGACAAAAGTTAGTGGATTTTTAGTATCTTTAGCTATGTGGAGGAAGTTAAAGATGAACTTATGCGAGATAAAGGTTGACTTACTACGCCAAGAGTCATTCTGGTCCGTAAAAGAGAAATAAAACTCAGGCTCTTGGATGTGGAGGAAAATAATTAAGTTGCGATCTATAACCAAGTTGCTTCATCGAGCGAAACTAAGTGTGGGAAAGAGACTTGTTTTGGCATGATCATTGGTTTCTTTTAGGCAGGATATGAGACATCTTTGGAGCGAGAGGTTGCATTGATTTGGGCATAAGCATCTCTGTAACGGTAGATAAAGTAATGTGAAACCATCATTGAAGAAGTCATAGAACTATGTTGTTAAATAAAGTGGACGACGAGATAGTGAAAATCAGAGCTTTGTCAAAAAAAGAAGACATAATGCTATAGAAGAAGAAACCCGACAAATACACAAGTAAGTTCATTTCGAATAACACGTGGAATCTCATACGGGAAAAATATATGAGGTATGAGTGGCATAAGGTGGTATAGTTCACTCATGCTACACCTAAGTTTCCCTTGATGTGGGTAGCAATACATGACAGATTAGCCACGATGGACCACATGGTGAATTGAAACTCTAACATAGATGCATCATGTGTTTTTTGTCAACATCCAATGAAGACAAAATCACATTTGTTTTTCTACTATGTATTTGGCTCAGGTATGCGAAGTGATGACATGCATTCACAACATGATACACATGATACCAATGAATGATACCTCTACAAATCACGAAGAGCATATAAATTCTTTTGTTACAGTTATATAAGAAACATTGATAAATTTATTGAATGAGTTCTCATTAAATAAAACTAATAAAAAAATAGACAGACAAAAGTATTGATAATATTTTAAATAATGATAATCAACTTTTGTACCGATATTTTTTGGAGAAAAGACTTAATGGTACAAATCTTTGATTTTTTCAACCACCAATTTAGTGGAGCCAATGAAGATTGTTGAAAAATCCAAGTTTAAAACACTTCTATTTTTGATGCAACTACAATTTCTGCTTGATATTAAGTTTAGATTTACTTAACTATACAAATTCATTGCTTGATTCACATGTTACATGAGTGACGGAGAGCAAAATAAATTTCATTTGTAATTGTATAAGAATTAGTTTGGATGGAATTGTGGATTGGATTTTTATTAAAAAAAATTAATCAAAAATTTAGACATCAAAAAATATTAATAGATGTTTAAACAATGATAATAGACTTCAATTAAAATTTGATTATAGTGGAAAATTTCATTAATAATTAGATCACTCAGTTTATCTGTGAATGAATATTAACTTTTAGATTACTTCTTCGATGACCCAATCAAATTTTTGGTTTAGTATAAAATAATAAAAAATTAAAAAATCAATAATGTATTTTATAAAAAATTTATTAAAAATTTTAATGTTGTCTTACTTATAAGTTTTTGTAGCCAGTACACGGTGCGAACCCGTTAGCTAGTAAATAATATATGCATTACATATATACCCAGACAATTCAGTGTAGTTTCTTAATTAGCCAAGATATTTAGATGATGCTCACTAATTACTGATTGATATGGAATTACGTTAATGCTGAAGTTATGCGATTCTAATCCCAATAGAATTTATTTCACACAGTTGGTAAAATCTTGACTAATGAGATATATATCGAGAGCTTTGACGGGTAATACCGAATCATTTGTACTACTACTACTAACCACACTCCACACGCTATCTCATGGTGAGATCTAGAGTGTCCATATGTGAGTGATCAATTCCATTCTGTCATCTTTCCAAAGAACCTGGATCTCTGCAAAAGTTATTTGATAAGATGAAAAATTTGATTATTGATGATTAATGTATGTAAGCGGATGATTCTAGAAATCGGGTAAGGCGGGGCCTAGGTGGCCAACTTTATTTTTATTTTTAGTCTAGGTGGCCAAAATAGAGGCTTAACATTGCTAGAGTTTAGACGCTGCAATTTCGTTATAATTGGTGTAACAAATCGGTATAGATTGGTTCTAGGAACTCGTCCCGTTAGAGAGTTGCTCGCCCATGGTTTTTTTATTACGATATCGGTTGAAAAGAATAATAAAAATTAGTAACAACGAAGAGAAAGAATAATATTCGCACAAAAAAAGAGATAATAATAAAAATTTAAAAATAAAAAGGTAAGTAAAAAAAAAAGAGTTATCGCGTAGTAAGATTCAATTGTTTCATCATTCTCCACGACCCATGTCTGCTTTTACTTCTCTGATTCTTCACTAAACAGAGGCATACTTCACCAAATCCAGCATCATTCAACATCAACTACCACCACCATCATCATCTTTCTCTTGCAAACTACTTAGACAGCAAGATCTTTCTGTCTGAACCAGCAAACCTTTCTTTTTCTTCATCATCATCATCTACTCTTCTCCAAACCCTTTATAATTTGATCATTAACATCATCGTCCTCATAGTCATCATCATTGTGATCCTCATGATTGGATTCTTGGAGTGCAAGTAAAGGCATGGAATTAGGGTTTATCCAAGTGGAGAAGTGGGAAGCTGAACATTCTTTTCTCCTTAGCTTATTAGCAATAAGCAATGTCCTCCTCTTGTTGACTGGATTCTCCGCTTTTTCCAGATCCTTGGCGCTGCTGCTGTTGGTCGCTTCCATTAAATTCGCAAACGATTTCGATTTCCCCATGTAATAGCTCGATAATCCTCTCTTAATAGACAGAGAGTCTTCTAAAGAGGAAATAAACGAAGTAAGTGCTCCCCCTTCTTGGAAGGAAATGGAGTTGTCTTCTTCCTCCTCGTTTTCGCTATTCTCTCCGATTGACGATGCGCTTTCCTCCGACAACTCCTCCTGGGATTTACTACTTACCCTGAATCCGATCCCGATCTGGGATCCACTGCGTCTTGTTTCATTCGCCAAAGACAGAGCCACCGGTACAGCCTTACCCTGCGCCGCTACGCCGCTACGATCCCTAACGTACGCCGCCATGCCGATTCTAAATGACGAACCCACCATAACCTCCATTTAATATACCGGTATATTTCTGCTGATTACGATACGAAGAAATAGAAAGAGAAACCACAAAAATAGTAAAGCTCAAACACCACTCAACGAGAAAAATGGAAGAAATATGAGGAAAGGATCAATTCTCATTTAAATTCTCATTTAAATTATAATGACAACTATAAAAAAAAAAATTCTCATTTAAATTATAATGACAACTAAAAAAAAAAAAAAAATTCTCATTTAAATTATAATGACAACTATCCTGTAGGAGATATCATAGGGATTGAGTAATCAATTTGAATGATGCTCTTTCCTTTTACATGATTTTACTCAGTTTGATTTATATCTCTATATTATTATTTGAGTAGACATTTCATAAATGAACCTTTATTTGTAAGATATTACATAATATTTTACATAAATAAACATTTATTTATAAAATATTACATAAATAAAATATAGAAAGTCAATTAAATATATATGGATATAAATCAAAAGTATATTTAGTTTCTTTACTTATTAAAATATTAAAATATATTTTATTATTTTAAATAATAATCAATCCATATATATGAAAAAATTAATTTAAACTTTTGCAATATTTTTCATTTGTATTTTCATTATTATTTAGTATCATTTTTGAAAATCAGTTCAATTAATTATTTATATAAAAAATGAAATTATGTTTTCAAAATTTAAATTATTTTTTTTTAACAGGTTGGCCAAAAAATAGTTTAGTAAATTGTGAAACATATTAAGTAGCCGGGTTTTTCCATTTTGACAATCCTATATATAATCATTGTTAACACATATTATATAAGTTATTAACTAAAAATGATAGTTTGATCTCTAATAAAATATTCACAATTAAATTTTTATTTTATGAATATATATATATATATATATTAGATTTTAATCCATGTTGGTATGTATATAAGTATATATATATATATATTAATATCATGTCACTTTCATATTTAAAAAAGCTACTAATAATTAAACCGCATAATAATATATATACAAGTAAATATCGGTTATGTGATATTTATATAGGTATTGTTATCTAATTGTCACTAATTTTATTTATTTATATTTTTTGGTAAAGAACTTTTGTCACCAATTTAATTTAACAAAAAATTAAATTAAATTTAAAGATAATTAAAAAAAACATTACCCCGCATAATATGCGGGTTAATTCCTAGTATTATACAAAGGATTTACCCGCCCAGAAGATAATTTTTTGACCTTCAATTATGTTAAATAATTTTGTAAAAACATTTATTTTATAAAAACAATTATTTTGCAAAAATAGTTATTTTGTGAATTTTATAAAATGAGTTGATCTGTATATAGAGTCATTTTTATTTTTTTGGTTTGAATTGTAAAAAATGAGTTAATCCGTATATGAAGTTATTTTATAAGCGGTTAAAGCAAAATAAACTGTTTATTTAACAAGTTGGTATTAAACTAATATATTATTGAGGCTAATACACAAAATATTATAATATTATAATCATTAAATCTAATTTGTATTGCTTAATAACTGAGGTTTATAATCTGTCCACAAACTATAAAAAAGTAGTTTTATATTCTTTAACAATATATGTAGATAAATATAATATTCTTTAAATGTAGGTTTGATATAAAATTAATTAAAATACAACAAACTATATTTAATTTTAAAAGAAAAATTATAATATTTAGTAGATTAAATATACCACCCTTTTAAAAAACTAATATTTTGAATTGCGAATTTTTTTTTGGTAGATATTAAAAAATTAGAATCATAATCCGTTTATATCGAACTAACCCGTTTACTTAACATGTTTACTGGATTAAAATATAAAGCTAATTACAATATGTAATGTTTAATAACTCTCACTTCACAACACACTTTTTTAATTCAAAATCAATTTTCTCATGTCAAATTTTTGGAAAAATAACTAAAACATTTATTTTTGTATATAATCAAGTAAATATAACAGATTATAGTAAAACTTTTTCACCATTTTATTATATCATAACTTTTAGTTTTGATTTTTATATTATTTAATTGTGATTTTTTTTTCACATTTTTTAATTAACTATACTTTATGATATCATTTGAAATAAAAAATATAAAAAACTACCATATTTTTGAATACAAAAATTAAATAATAAATATATTCTATTAAATGAGGAACAAAGACTTTTCTTATTTTTTTCAATAAATTTGAAAGATATCCTTTATTATTTTGATTATTCTTTGTTATTTATAATAGGATATCATGTAATATTTTACAAAATAAAAGTTATTTCGTTAAATGTCTACTTAAATAATAATATAGAGATTTAGTTCCGTTTGCTCTGTTTTAATTATGTTTCTATCTCTGTTTTTTTCCTTTAAATTTGTATTAATTATATCGACTGCATCGGTCTTGAAAATTGTTTTAATATTTTGGATCCCAATATACTCATCGGTCTCTGTTGGACACCTTATCCAGTTCCCTTTGTATTTATATGATGTTTAAGGTTTTTCACACAAAAATTATGAGACTCTCTGTACAATACAAATTTTAACCTTCTCTAATTGAATTAATTTTTGTATTAGAAATTGTGATAAAAATAAGGGCAAATGAAGTCATTTTATGACAATTTTTGTATTGATTTGTGAAAACATCAAATAATGTAGAACAAATTAAAAAACATTTAAAACATCATATAAATAAGAACAGAGGAAGTACTATATTAAGTATTGTATAATATGAGTTAAAAGATTTAGACTTGAAATTTGCTAATATGATTAAATATGATCCGTATACAGCATAATTTTTTTTAAAATTATAATCACTACAAAAAGTATGATTTACATCATTTATTTTCTATACTTGCATTATATATATGATATAAAATAATTTTACATCACTTAAATAAGTGATTCTGAAAGTGGTGATGCAAATGTTTTACATCCGTTAAGCAATTGAAGTAAATATTTGCATCGGTTAAGCAAGTGATATAAATATTTGCATCAATTAAGCAAACAATGTCAATATAATTGCATCAATTATTTTAATCGATGTTAATTTGTGTCGGTTGCAAAAATGATGATAAAGATTTGCTTCAATTAATATAAGGGATGGTAATGTTATATTATAATTATCAACTATAAATATATGTAATCATTTTAAGTTAGTACTAACTTTTATAAATTAATTTAATATTAATTAATAATTTTTATAAATAATTTAAGTATTTTATATATAATGAAACATTAATATTGATTTTTAGAGTTTGCAAATAAATCATAGTTATATATAAGAAATCAAACTTCTCAGCTTCTTTCTTAGTTATTAATGTGGGACAAACATCAAAGATAATTAAATTAGCATCATTTTTTGATTGATGTAATATTTGTATCATTCTCTTAATTGATGTTAACAAAAACATATAGTTACATCAATTATCTAAGTAATGTGCATTCCTATTTTTGTATCACTTTTCATAAAGTGATATAAATTAATAAAAGTTTGTATCTGTTTAAGGGAGTTTTGGTCTTTTTGTGAGGACAAGTCTCCTGCAAAATCGAAAAACACGTGAAGGCCTAGAAAATACAATGTAAGTGTGTTTTCTGAAGGCTCTCTAATGCTTAACTCAGAAAACAACCAAAAAGACTACCAAGTGGCTAATTTGCGAGGATAAAGAAATCAGAAAACTATGAAAGGAAAGTGGACCAAGCGTTCCTTAGAAGGGTGGAATCGACTCGGGCCTTTGATTAGTGATGGACTTTTTGAGGTGAAAAGAGAGAAAAGGAAGAGTTTGTTGGTGGAAATGTTCCACAGTTTAGGAACCGCCGTGGAGAAGAAGTGAAGAGATGGTCGAAATAGTGACCGGAAAGTATAAAGTGCTAGTGCTTAAGACTCACAAGTATCTAGAGAGATATTATGAACCTTAAGATAGCTAAGAAAGTATCTATCCCCTTCCTCGTTAAAAGGAACAAAGTATTTATAGGATTTTACCTGACCCAGATTAGTATACTGGATTGATCCATGGATAGTGAGTCGGGTGGGTCAGTCCACGATCCGACTTGACTGGGTTCGAATCTTGTACTTGCGTCATACTTCTGACGGTCTCACCAACTTTCTTTGGCATGTTCTGTCTGCTACGAGAACGCTCCTTGGCGCATCCCTTTCGCCCTTAGTGTATGGGTTGGATCGGTGATTCAGGCGCGGTAGGGCTCTCGCTGAACATATGATTTTCTCTCTAGTTCCTGTGAAAGGTCACAGTCGCCTGACACGTGTAAGAAAGATGCATTAAATGTCAATCTTGTGGGTTTGTAAGGATATGAGCACTCAAATCAGACTAATGTGAATTGTCGAATGGAGGGAAATTTGAATAGTATTTCCCGCTTTTAGGTTTACCCATACATGGCTTGGATCCCTCGATACTGGGACCGAGCTCCCAGGGTTTGCTTAAATGGACGACTTCGCTATCCGGGTACCTGTGCGGGTCATTCTTCCTTACATCCTGACCCTTCCGGATCACTGAGTTTAGGTCTATGACATAGAGAACGTGACATCTCTACCACTCAGTTTCCAACCTCCTTGTCTGTAACAACATTGTCTGCGCTGTCATATACGAGGAACCCAAGAACATGTGGTCTCTCGTGCCAGATCTCTCAAATCCGAATCGATTCGAGACCTGGTGCTACATGCTTAGGTCCTATTGGATCGTAATCCTAATATGAATCCTAATTTGGTCCAGGTGGGCCGTACCTGGAAAAAAGTCTTGGATGCCACGTGCAAGTACGCGATATGTCCAGGTAGGAAATATTGAATTTATCCCCAAAAATTTGTCCTCCACTTTGCGGGTTAGCAAAGCTAGCCCGTGATATGGAAGTTATCCTTGCTGGGAACAAACACCTTCCCCCTCTCATTAGGCGTACCTGACTGGACATTCTTGATAACACTGTATTTGTACCAATTTTTACCATTGATTTCAAATGCCTTTTCAAAGGTTTTAATCAGTTTTAGGAACTTTTA